ATCTAGTTCTGGCAAAATGCATAGATTATAAATCCTGACTAGGTTATGATGTAACAAGAAGATTCTCCTTTCACATAGTAAACTTGTAGGGACATGAAGAAAGAAGGGTTAAGGAATGTTCCTCCAACTCCTGTACTACATAAAGGTATCTTTATCTCCATAATTCAATCATAATATTTTCTTTCCAAAATATGAGCAACTAGAGTCATATGATATTGTGTAGCCTTGGTTCCTAAACTATGAAAGAGCCTTCTCTTAGCATCATCATCTATTCACTGCACAGTGCCTGCATTCTGATTTGCAGCTTTATTACAATATTGGAAGGATCATGAGAAAGCTCCAAAATGATAAATCAATTAGTCTTTATCGTTTGGATTCTACTACCAAATATGAATTGTCTCCTTAAAACTTCACTCTTCTTCTGGGCACTGGTGGCTAATGCTTGTAACGCTAACTATTCAGGAGGCTGAGATGTGAGGATTGTGGTTGGAAGCCAGAATGGGCAAGTAAGTCCATGTGACTCTATTCTCCAATTAACCACCAAAAGCCAGAAGTGAAGCTATGGCTCAAGTGACAGAGTGCTAGCTTTCAGAAAAAAAGCTTAGGGATAGCATCCAGGCCCCACATTCAAGCCCCAGGACCGGCATAACAAGAAACCAACACTTCCCACTTTCTTTCCTTTTAGAACAAAATCTGGATTTGCCTCCTACCTGTCCTTCCTAAGCTCTGCTTTTAAGGCCTGAGTGGAAGCATCTTCAAAACTCTTGTCTTTCAACTAACAAGCTCAAGAATGCAATCATTTTGTCATGAAATCTGTACTCATATTTCTCAAGAAGCTTATGAACATCTTAATTTCATTGCTCTGCTACCAATTTTAGCTTATCTTTTTCTATAATCACCACTCCTTTCCCTGTTCTTAATAGTACCACAATTTGTCCTTCTGGCCAATCAAACTAAAAACCCTAGGATTATCTTTGACATCTAGTTACTCTGACAGTAGACATGTAATTTATCATTTACTCCCTGTAGCTTAAAGGTCCTAATGCTTATCTTTGATCATGTTCCTATTGCTTAAAAACTTTCATTAGATCTCTATTTCCTAAGGAATTATATGCTAGGAACTTAGTCTCTTACTTCAGCACTTCAAGATGTGGCTCTAAGTCAATTTTTTCAGAATTATTTCCCTAATGTTCATTCTACTTTATATATCCTATTAACCATTGGCTAAAATTATGCTTTGTACTTGTTTACTTCTATGTTTTTATGACATTTCATTTCACTGGAATGCTACTGTCCCCACCCTCCAGCTAACACTGCTGAAATCTCTACTTAAGTCTCCAAAGCCTTTTCCTTCAGCAGTATTTTTCTGCTATATCCAATAAGGCATGCTATCGTCTTCCTCTGAACTCACATATGATGTTATTAACACCTTTTCTCTGATAACTCTTATCTTGTGTCTTACTCTGTAGTCTTCCTGCACATTTTATCTTTCTTACAAGACACAAAGGGTTTATAATCTTATCTAAGTTATTTCTGCATCTTCTATAATGTCTAGCACAGTACATTTTACAAAACAAATGTACAATAAATTTATCAATATTTAAGGGCTCAATCCTAATCTAAGCTTGACATCAGCAAAGCTTGTGCTCTGGGTTACTATTCAGATACTATGCACCAGTTTAACCACAGAGGCGGTTTATTGCTGTTGTACATTCTGAGTGGTGGGAGCTTACACTGTGTTATTTAGTAATATTTTTAGTATCATATCTCTTGATATGAGAGTCTTCTTTGAAAATATCTTTTTTCCTTTTTATTTGTTGGTGATATTTGGATTTGAACTCAGGGCTTCATACTGCTTAGGCTGTTGCTCTACCACTTTACCACTTCTCCCATCATTTTGACCTTAGTATTTTTTTTTCAGAGTCACTTGTTTATATGCCAAGTTGGCTTCAGACCATCATCTTGACACCTAAGTCTCCTATCTAACTGGCAAGCACTGTCTTATACAGTTTATTTGTTGAGATGAGGGTATCACTAATTTTTTGCTTGGGCTGGTGTTAAATTGAAAGTAGCTTGATTCTGGAATTTATGCCTCCAAAGTACCTGGGATTACAGGTAGGTACCACTGTGCCTAGCCTCCATTTTATGGGCCAAGGAAATATTTGGGAGTTTGTTCTGAGAAGCATTTCATTACTTAATATAATGTCTTTTTGGAAGGATCTATGATTTAGGCAATTATGTAATTCATTAATTTTTTATTTTCCACTGAAAAGTATTGGCTATCATTTCATATTGATTAAATATAGAACTGAAAACATTGCATACAAAAAACACAAAAGTAGAGTTCTGTATTTTTCATACAGTGATTTCTATCTGTAAGTGATGTTAATGAAGATGGCCAATACAATAGGACAACTTTGCTGATTTGAGGGGAGGGGATGCATTGTCTCTTATTTTTCTTTCCTTGGGGGAAAATAAGTAGTCTTTATAATTGTGCTTTTCTCTCAACATATTCAAGTGGAACTTACTTTAAAAGAGCATGGATTCCAGTCAATGAAGAAAATCTAACCAAATCAATGGATCTTGGACAGAGAAAACAACTTAGGACCAGTAAGAAAAGATTATCTAGGTAGAAATCATGACAAGAAAGAAACCTATAAAAGTTCCTGGTGCCAGGCACTGGTGGTTCACACCTTTAACCCTAGCTACTTTGGAGACTGAAATCTGAGGATCATGGTTGGAAGCCAGTTCAGATATGAAAGTGCAGGAGACTCATATCCAAATAACAATGTGAAAACCAGAAGTAGAGCTGTGTCTGAAAGTGGTAGAGCATTAGCCTTAAGCAAAAAAAAAAAAAAACATCTCAGGGGCAGTGCCCAGGCCCTGAGTTCAAGACCCATGACAAACTAAAGGAAAAAAAAAAGTTCCTAGCTCTGCTGCTTCTAGAAAGAGGCAAGCACACAGTTTTTGGGGGGAGCTTCCAGCTCTTCTAGTATTCCAGATGTTTAACCTACCTTTAGCACTGTGTATTGCTAGATTGTCTTCACTTCTGGCTATCCAAATACTTTTGCAATTTGGCCAGACAACCACAGCTATATGGTTTTTTTTATCTTATTTGTTTACAAGTATATTCTAGCTATGAACCAAGGGTGCTCTCAACTTAGATTATTCAGAATTAGTATTTTATACAGTTTGTGAATATAAGCTTGGTATTTCACTGTTGACAACACTATATCCCCTTCAGTATCAAACACACAGAAAGAACATGGAAAGATCTCTCTCCTGGTACTGTCTTTCTAGAATCGGAATGAAGTGAACGACTTTTCAGGCAGGGTCTTTTGCAAATGTGCATTTTTAAAATAAGCAGACTAGGAAGCTTATATAAAGTTTTTTTAATGGCCCAGAATGACATGCTTTTAATTAACAGCTTCTTAACAGAGAACTAAAATGATACAAAAAATTAGTTCAGTTCACTTTTTACTATTATTGCCCTGATCCTTTAAGAAAGAATAGTGACAGCTTTTGTTTTCCTTTAGCATCAGAAGGAGCCTCTGACAGCATGGTAGAACATTCTCATTTTACAGATAAAGACCAAAGAGAGGTGCAATGACTGCCTCATAAGTGCGTATTACCAAAGCTTCTAGCTTTCTGCCACGCAACATTGCCTTACAAAATGTATAACCACCATATAAATACATATTTTCATATTGTTTTCTCATGCCTTCTAGTCTTTTTGTAGATAGTCTTCAATATCTTCATAGACACAAAACTGTCTTATTGTCCAACCAAAAGCCTTCTCTACTCACAACCAAATCAGCTTTAGGCTATTCTCCAGAGGCTGGCCCTAAAGGGAAGTAGTAGAATTTTACCTACAACCTATCAACATTCAAATAGAAAAAAAAGATGATTATCATTTACATTAGCTTTGGTCACTAATATCACCATCACCCAAGGTTTTGTGCACTACTTTGCACTGGCTCCTTGTTCATTTATTGCTTTACTAAATTACATTGCTTTTCAAGCTACCAATTTCCATTCTAGTAACATAATTAACTTTCAGCCCACATACAGCACATGCTATTGAAGTGAAATCCTCCTTATTTAAATTAAGTAGAGTTTACATATTTGCTATTCATTTTCTTCTCCTTACTTTTACTTATCTAGATAGCTTTATAGCCTGGGAAGGGGAAACTGAAAGTCAGCATATCTACTTTCTTCCTCTATTTCTAGAAATAGGACCACTGCAAATATAAAACCTTACCTGGAGGTGGTAGACAGGTAAACTCAGCTGGATTATCCTGGTAGACAGGTAAACTCAGCTGGATTATCCTGAGATGAGCTACTATTTATCTCTGCAATTGAGTATGAATAAATAAGGACAACCTTCTAGTTCCACTTAAGAAGGGGTGGCCTGCTTCTTTTATATTTTCCTTCATTATCAATGTTCATAGTGTAGCTTTATCAAATATACAGAGACAAATGTTCTAATGCTTTTTGATTTTTGAGTATGGATTAGTTTTGTCTGTTTTCCTATTATTAACAAATAGATCATAATAAAAAACAAAATGGCCTATACTAATAGGCATTGTCTCAGTTTCCTTATCCAAAAATAGCTAATGGTTGCTGTGACATCCGAAGTCCAATTATTTTAATAATTTAATTTTATTTATGGTTTTAAATCACTTTCCACCCAAACCACATGGCCATAAAATAACAAGATATTTAATATTAACCACTGTAGGCGTTCTTATTTCAAAAGTTATTTTTTTTGCATATCATACCATTACTTCAAGCTAACATTTGCCAACTTCAAAGTTTTAATCATGCAGATGTAGAAGCCTGCTGAGATTTCATACATGAACTGAGATCAACAGTTAAAGGAAAGAGTCTTCATGAAAAAGTCCACATCCTTTTTTATGTTTTGTTTAGTTTTTGCAAAGAGGTGGTTGACACTGAACAGTCACCTTTTCATGCCTATGTCACTTGGAGTGGGGTATTACCTGAGTTCCGCGGAATCCGCTTTCTACGGTCTCGGAATGCTGCACCTGATTGCAGGGCTTCTAGAAGATTATCCATCACACCAGTCTCATCACCCTCTGGAGGAAAGGAGAAATTGGAATTAATCTTGGAGCAATTAAAGTTAAACTACAGGAAAATAAAGGGGAAAAACTCCTGTCAGATTTACATAATACCCCTAAATTAAAGACATATATCTGTTTTAACATAATGAATCCTGTCAGTTTCTGGCACCACAGACTACTTTGCTTATTATGCACCATTAAGCAAAATTCATGCCAATCCCACTGTTCTTTCAACTTAAAGACCTTGTCTTTTGTATTATTGATGACACGCTCCGTATGCAAATAAACAGTAGCTGATTTGTGACTTCTGCCTTCTTGTTAAGATTCTTAAAGGATATTTCTGAGCAAGAAACCACTGACCCAGCTTAATGCAATCAATGTGCAGGGTGCAATTTTATGAAGCTAAGTTATACAAGGTTAAATACTGATTGTATTAATACTTCAGCATTCAACCATCATCTGTGATTATCTCAAAAGACACTATTTGCAAAACACATTTGCATTCAGTTCTTATCTAATCCATATGTTTTACTCATTTTGAAATGATGACTTTGTATAAAGCCAAGGTGATTATGTCTTGTGAAAGGCCATATTTTATAATGGAGAGAATTCTTTTGTGTACCGAAGCTTCCTGTGGAAAAACTGTGTTGAGAAGCCATGGGTGAAACATCTAAAAAACGTTCATGGAAATGCCTGACAGTGACAGAATTTGAAATATTTCACCTTACCCGTATCATTGACAGCTCTGGCGATCAAACACACTCTGAGGATTTATTCTTATATTTTTCTGAAGGTGTCAAATGTCAGAAACACTAGGAGGCAGTGGATAATTAAAAATCTGAGTCTTTCTCATTCTAATGAACTAATTGATTGGTTAGTTAAATGTGTAGTTCCTACACAGGCAGAAGGGTTAAGAAAAGAAGGATGTGATAGAGAAGACATAGTTTTTGATGTTAGTCCAAGGTTAAACTTAAATCCTACTTTGCTTAAAGAATTAACTGTAAGGTACCAGATCACAGAGAAAAAAATTCTCTTGTGGGACAAAGACAAGCTAAAATATTTTTATGTGCTTCATTTGACTTGAGACTTCCTCAATATTAGTTACAGTAATTTATCCCGTTTTTTTAATTTTTTTGGTCGGTTGTGGGGCCTGAACTCTGGGCCTGGGAACTTTCCCTCAGCTTTTTAGCTCAAGGCTAGCGCTCTACCACTTGAGCCACAGTGCCACCTCTGGCTTTTTCTGCTTACATGGTGCTGAGGAATAGAGCCCAGGGCCTTATGCCTGCAAGGCAAGCACTCCGCCATTGAGCCACCTTCCCAGCCCAATAATTTATCCTTTTAAAGAAGACTTTCTAGGACAGGATATTGAATACAAATGAAGGGAACCAGGCACTAATGACTCATGTCTGCAATTCTAGCTACTCAGGAGACTGAGATCTGAGGAATGCACTTCTAAGCCAGTCTGAGCAGGAAGTTTGTGAGACTCAATAACTCCAGTTGGCAAATCAAGAGAAGTTGGAAATAGAGCTATGACTCAAGTAGTAGTGAAAGCCTTGACCAAAAAATTCTAATGGACAGAGCCCAAGAACATCAATAACCAGAACAAAAAAAGAAAAGGAAAAAAAAGATAAGGGAAACAAGTTCACAGCTACAACATTTGGTGGAAAGAGGAAGAATGAAAAGAAAAACCTCACTGACTAAACAGAGAAAGAGGATTGTATCCTTTTAACATGCAGGAAGTTCACTGAAATCCCTTATATAGAAAAGAGGAAGAAATAGTAGGTGGGCAGTAAGGAGCATGGTGGGTGGAAATATGTATGAAAGAACTAAATTTCATACAGTGGATGATTTATGTTTATTTTATGTTTTCATTTGGAGATATGACCTGAGATCAGGCAGACAGTTAAGCTACCATCACATTCCTAACTTGCCCCAGAGCCTCATGCAGGTTAGTCAAGTGCTCTAGCACTGTGCCTCAGACCAGCCCTCTTTGCATGACAGCTAGGAGAAGGTAAAATGTATAAAGTACATATTAGCCAATTCACAGTTCTATGTAGGACATGGAATTTGTCCAGGACTGTTTGATAATAAGCATGTAATACAGACCACAACTACAAGTGACATCTTAAATATTCTAACAGTCATACTAAAACAGGAAATGTGCAAAATTAATTTAATAGGCTAGGTAAATATTTAGTTAACCATATATAGAAATTTACAATATATTTTGCATTATTTCAATGAGACAGACTCAGAAATTTAATGAGTATTTCCTTTGGTATATGTTAATTCAGATTAACTGTAATTGAGCCTCATATTGCTGCACTGAGCACCACAACTATCAGCTAGGAAGATACCCAATCAACTTTAGAAAGACTTTCTGCATCACATTTGAAAGATGACAAGAAGAGAGGCAGGGTTATTTCTAAATGAATAGCATAATTAGGCAACAAATAAAGGCCTGAACTGACAGGGAAGCAGAATGGACAGGATGGATATTACAAAGATCTTAACATAGTGAAATAAGATTTAATTAGGGATGGGGAAGTTGAAGAAAAGAGTTAAGGTTTAAGGAAATGTAATAACCTCTTTGAAATGACAGAAATATATTCTTGGAGGTACCATATAAGAAGCTAGAACTATGGGTCTTGAAGTGATGAGTAAAGTTGGGCATAACTAAAGATTTGAGTATAATTGGAAGATGGATGAGATAGTATATCCAAAGGAAGAGAGTAGAGAAGATATCCAATTCCCGAAGCCCTCAGTTTCTTTTAAGAAACTGAAAATTATTTAATAGACAAGTAAAAATTGTGTATGCTTACCGTGTTCCAATGTGATGTTTTGATATATGTGTACCTTGTGGAATGACTAAATCAAACCATGTAACATAGGTATTAGCTCACGTATTTGTAATTTTTGTGTGAGAGAGAACACTTAAAATGTACTTCTCACAACAAGTGGCAAGTAGACAATATGCCATTATTAACTGTAGTCATTATGATGTAAAATGGATCTTTTGTACTTACCCTTCCTGTAGAAAAGAACTGTATTCTTTAACCTAATATCCTTTTACCATCTATTTTTCCATCCCCTAGCTTATTCCAATGTTTAATGGACAGTTGAGAAAGACAGAACTGAGACGGCAAAGAGGGAATTTTTCAGAGTAGAAATCCAAACAAAAGGAAAAGAACAAGGGTGCAAGTGATTTTTATATAGACTTCTAAAAATGGTAGTTATAAAGACTGTAGAAAAATGAATATATTTAAACAAGTGAACAGAACAGAATACAAAGCAGGATAGATGTTACTTAAAATTCTTTAATGGCATTATTTTGTGATTAGAATAAAAGAAGGAAAAAGCAAATATGACATAATGTTGAGAAAAATTAAAAAATAAATCCCTGCTTCATTTAGTGGGTGCCACCTGAAAACATTTACTGAAATATTTTGCAAGATCAATGTTTTTCATCATTTTTCATTGTTTTTTTTTGCCATCCCTGGGTCTTTTTAGGCATCTTTCCCTGCAATGTTCCTCACTGTTAGAACTAAACACCATAGATATGTCTCTGTTGATTTACCATGGTTCTTTGAAGGATTTCAAAATGACTATACTATTTAAAATCTTTTTCTACCCACATTCCCAAGGCCCAATAGCCTCCCCAATGTGGGTAGTTGTGGGGTGCATGAAAGAGTTCTATGGTTTTGCTAAGAACAAACAACAGCAACAAGATTTGGTTTTGTGCATGCTACATATAAACAAAGGAAAAGTGGATTTCATTCTATTATCTTTAAAGGAATGAAGTGATTTTTATACTGAAAATATCTAATGTCTAGACTGAATCAAAGATCTATGAATATACTCATAAAACCAATTTATATTTCAGAAAATCTTCTTAAAACAAAAATGGAAACCAACATGCTAATTTGAAACCCATTATCCTTCATTCTGAATTCATGTCACTGAAATTTGGTTTGTGGTCGAATAGTATAAGGTTGATAGTGTACTTAGGAAGGTCCGAGTTGAAGTTCCCACTTTTAGTTTAACATGCAGCCATCTGAATGAAAATCTGCATACATCTGCCTCATTATACCTTAGTTCTACTGTTACCAAACAGTCAAAAAAAAAAAAGAATGCAATCCAAAGGATTATGTGCTGTGTTTGAAGTGTTCCTATCCTTCGTGATTGCTGGAATGCAGAGTTAATGGCCAGAACTCAAACAACTTCCTTGGATTTTGAGGTAAAGCCACATGCTAAGGATAACAGAGTAACAAGATTTTGACAGGAAGATGCCCTGTTAATCCTAACTATACTACTGGATGTTTTATGCAAGAAAGAGAAACATTAACTGGGCACTAGAGAGTTGGTCATGCCTTTAATTCTAATTAAGCAGGCTGAGATTTGTGCATCATGGTTCAAAGATACCATTGTCAGGAAAGTCAGAGAATTTATTACCAGTTAAGCAGTAAAATGCAGGATCAAGTGGCTCCAGTGGTAGGGCTCGAGCAAAGAGCAGAAAATCTGAGGGAAAAACTTGAAAAAAATTATTTCTAGGGCTGGGAAGGTGGTGGCTCATTGGTAGAGTGCTTGCTTAGCATGCATGAGGCCCTGGGTTCGATTCCTCAGCACCACAAAAACAAAAAAAGCTAGAAGTGGTGCTGTGGCTCAAGTGGCAGAATGCTAGCCTTGAGCTGAATAGCTGAGGGGCAGTGCCCAGATCCGGTGTTTAGGTCCCATGACCGACAATTAAAAAAAAAATTCTAAATTGATAGAACATTAGAATATCTTATTCAGTTGTGATTAGTTGTAAATAGGTTTTCTGATTTAAGACTGTATTTAAAATAAAAAAATATTTTCATTGGAAAAATCTGAATGAGTACATATAGAAAAAATGTTTTCTTACATCTTATAATACCTAGGTTACAGAGTGAAAGCATATGAAGGGGAAATTTGGTAATGCTTTTTAGTCACTAAAATGATAGTGTGTGGATATAGCTGAGAAGTAGCATTCAGAGGCC